AAAATATTGGTGAATCTACCATCTTGTCCTTGGATCAGGGTTCAGGCTCTTGGGTGTCAGTGGTGCAGGTCAAACTCCACCACCAAAAGCCATGCATCCTAGAGGGAACAGGAAAATTTGAAAGGGCTCCACAGGTACTTGTGATTTTGTTTTTAAATTTTTATATCTTTTCTGTCTCTGCTTAATTTTTTGAACATATTAAATACAATCACAGTGACTATTTTAATGCTATTTTCTGCTAACTCTAACATCTGTGTTTTGGATTATTTTCAATTTGTGGATTATTCCCTCTTCTCTCTATAACCAGTCATTTTTATTTGATGCTACACATTGTAAACTTGGCCTTTCTGGGTGCAGGGTATTGTGTATTTTTATAAATATTTTTTAAGTTTGTCTTGGGATACAGTTAAGTTGTGTGGAGACTTTAATCCTTTTAGGACTTATGTTTCAGGTTGGTTGGGCAAGTTCAAATGATGATCAATCCATGGCTATTTATTCCTCACAGTAGAGGCAAGAGTCTTCTGAGTATTCTACTAATGCATTTTGATTTATGAGGTTTTGCAGTCCAGCAGGCAAGAATGGGCACATTCTGGCCTTGTGTGAGCACTGGTTGTCTTTCTTTCTGATCTTTTTCTGTAGTCTTTCCCTAGCTCTACCATTACTGTTCCATCACTGTAATGATGTACCTGACGCAGGCTGCTTGGGAGGTAAGGGAGGCGTATTCAGCTCACAGTTTTGGAATTTGGCATCATGGAGAAGGTCATCTGGGAGCATCGTGAACTGGAGGGGGAGGAGAAGGGAGAGAGAGGAAGAGTGGGGCAGAGAGACAGAGAGACAGACAGAGAGACAGAGAGACAGAGATAGCAGGTGGACAGATAGCCGCCCAGCCCAGGGTCCCACGGTTCCCTCTGAAGGTGAGCTGCCAATAACCTAGGACCAGCAGACCCCACTTGCAAAAGCTCCACGGCACCTGCAGCTCCGCCACTGGAGGACCACACTTGCCTTGCAGACCGCTGCAGACCTGCAAGCTGCAAACAGCGCTGGCCTTGGGTGCTGTCTCACTCGATCAGGTCCTCAGCTGGATGCTCCAGGGGACCCTTCACAGCTGTGTCAAGCTCATTCTGTGCCTTTCCCCTCTCCGCTCCTCTGCTTTGTAAGCCTGTCTGTCTTGGTCTCCCTGACTCCAGCTCTGTGTCCTCGACTCAGACCCCACCGACTGCCTGGTTCCGCTCTCTGTTCCTAGGCCGGGAACCCTTGATTCAATCATCTGGGTCAGTGGTAAGGCAAGTCCCATCTGTGTCTTATCCTTAGGGATCATTGTCATTTGTTATCGTGTATACTTTGTCTTGAAAATGTTGTTTTGCGCATTTTGTATTTTTCTTTGTTTACTTCGTTTGGGAGGATAAATCTCCTTGTTACTCTGCCTGAACTTCAAGCAGAGTTCTTTATATCTTCTTAAAATACAAATATTTACACGGTTGTGGTTAGGCTATATACATCATTTTAGGATCAAATAAACATATTTCAGACATTTGGCCATATTTCTAAATAGTTTCATGATTGCTATTTTAATAGCTGAAAAATATTTCATAGCATGCCAGGATTTTGGAGAGCAGTTTATATATTCAAGGATGATTTATGTCTTATCTCTTTCCAAAAGAGAATTTCAGATGGCTTATTGACAAAAAGGCCTACTAAATAAGAGTAATGCTGTATGAATTAAAAGGAAAAGTAAGGTCAAGAAAAGCAAAGAAAATAATAATGCCAACTATGATAATATCTGCTATCATTGAAAGTCAATTAGGCTTTGGACATTCCGGCCATCAAATATGCCAACTGCTGTTAATTACAGTGTTATTACCACACAGTGAAAGGACCAGCGTGTGTTAGCAGTTATTGAATGCCTACTGGATGTGACTTAACAGAAGGCATAGTCAGTGATATGTTCTGTGAGCTTCACATCACCCTGTGACACCTGCCCTGACCATGGAGCAAGCAGCAGCCTAGGGATCCACATTCCCAAGACTAAAATGGTACAGCAGGCACTCCGCGGCCACGGTCATCATTATGCAAGTCACCACAGGAGGAGAGACGTTTCCAGTACCGAATTCTGCGGAAACTCTCAGGTGGGGCAGGTTATCGAGGCAGCAGGGAGTGAGCCCATGACCAGTGTCTTAACAACAATTCATACTAAATGCAGACAAGGTTTTGAAGGGCTGTTTGTTTCTGCAATAGCTTTCGGTGGGTGTGACACTGAACTGCCTTCACTGGAGCGGCTCTCAGGAGGGCTGCGCTGAACTGGATGGCATGTGTCTCTCTCGGCTCACAGCTTTAGCCCAGGATGGCACCAGGTCCTCAGAGGAGAGGATCGCTGTGCCCCACACCTTCTGTGACCTTCTTGCTCTCAGCTCTTCAGAGGACCTAGAGACCCCGTTTCCTGCTGTCTGCTGAGCATCTCTTTGTGCAAATTCACTCCTCACAAACCGGCCTGTCATTCCTTGCTGTCTGCTTTCTGTGTGCATTGCTCCCAGAGAACTCTGGGGCTCTCTCTGCCCTCCTGACTGTGCCTCATCAGCCCATTACTTTTTCTCTCAAGCTCCCACCTTTCCTTCGCTCCTGGGGAGTGTCTGTACCCCTTCGCTTTGTGTCTAATGTTTGGCGTATCCATGGCTTCCCACCCTGACGTCAGCAGGTACTGACTCCTGGCCGTACTTGGCCCTCAGAACTGGAGGGGAGCCCAGATGAGCGGTGCTTGATTCTGGCCTCAGGGGCCCTCTCCAGTAGAGACCAGAGAGCACTACCATTTTAAGAAATAACTTAAAAGTTGCATCAGCAAAGCACATGTGAACGCCAAAGTAAGAAACACCAGGAAACATTTTATTGTAGCATATAGCTTTGATGCTGAAAGTTTCATATAAACATACTGCTTTTAGCAGACTCGCTTAGTTTATTTACTGCCCAGATTTCCCTGCCCTGTGCCCCTGGGGTCCGTGCTTTTTGGAGAGACCAGCTGTTGTCTTGTCACTCAGCCCCAAGCACTGTTGGCTGTCCCCACCTCCACCAGGGTGCAGCGGACTTTGGGGTGGTTTCCAGGGCATGTACAAGGGAGGGGACTCAGGCCAGTCCCTGGTCCTCTCTGATTGACTCTCAAAGCTTGTGCATCCCCTACTTCTGGGCTCAGATACAGCACCGCTCATGCTGCTTGAGGTATAGGTGACACAGTCCTGCAGTGTCGGGAGTTAACCTCTGGTGGAGTCCATCTGACCACCGAGAGCCACGGGTGACGCTAGGCTGGGAGCTCCCTAGTCCTCCTTCCAAGAATGCCTGAGCCCTGCATCATGACTGAACTCCCCGAACACTCTCATTCTGCCCTCGCCCCACCTTCCCAGCATCCTCGTGTGTATGGCCGAGTGACTGCACCTTCTGAGGAAGTCTTCACACAGGACTTGCTGCAGGCCTTCTTTGTGAGGGGATCTGGGATGCAACTCAAGCAGACATGGGATGAGGGTTTGTAAGCAGAAGGAAACCCTAAGCAAAGCACTGAGAGAGGCAGGGTACGTGGTGACATTCATTCCACGGAGCCTGCCTTCCCCATCTGAGAGTGGCCTGACTTCCCCACCCCACTCCCGCCATTTCTGCAGGGTAGGTCCTGAGATAGCTCCAGGATGGCCCTTTTCCTCACATTTTCTGTGTTCCCAAAATACACAGTTCATGTAGACTATTAAAAATAAGTCATATAGGGCCGGAGATTTAGCTCAGTGGTTCCCCTGCCTGCCTCGCAAGTGCAAGGTCCCAAAGTTCGATCCCCGGTACCAAAAAAAAAAAGTCATATAAAACAGTGTCCTGGTATTCCTCAGATTCTGGCTCGAAATCTACCACCTTCTTGAAGCCAGAGCAAGCTCTCCTATTACCTTGCTACCCGAAGGATTTGTTTTTAAGCCACTTTTGAGTTTGTCACATCTTGTCATAAAGGATGCTTGCATACGTCTCACACATTTAATAGATTACAAGGTGCTCAGAGGCAGAGGTACAAAGCAGGCCTTCACAAATACCAGCTGAATTCATCCAGAAGTCTACCTGCAAGTGTAGTTAGGATTAGGGTTAGGTTTATTAATCAGTAGTGTGAGTGTGTTTCTTAAATCACTGTACCTATGTTTATAATCCTAATATTAATAATTGCTTTTGAACAGTGTTAGGAAACCTCAGTGTGTCTGGAACGTTCTTGTGGCCCTGGGCAAGGCCACAGCTGTGTGACTTTGCTTTGATTCCCCAGGTGCCTGGTAGCCAGGACTGTCTCAGAGGCTCCAGTGGGCAACAGCGTCAGAATCCAGTCCCTCAGCAGGACTGGGTCACCGTGGCAGGAGCAGTGAGGAAGGAGCCCTCCTTCACTCAGGGAGCATGTCTAGCACGCCTCTGTGCTGGACCACAGCTCTGCCTGTACCCGGGACATTTCAAGGCTATTAGTTTCTTCCCTCAGTTTCTCATTTGCAAATTTGGCTTCTTTCTTCCTTCGTTTCACACTGTCCAGTTCATTTCAAAGAATTTTTGGAGTCATTGTAGAAGATGATTGGAGGAAAAAAATCTGCAAAGGGCATAAAAACATATTGTGTGGCTATCAGTAATCATCATTTTTAGTTGGCTATGTGGACTCCCTGCGACAATACAAACTTGGCGGTGCTCATAAAAAGAGGTCTTGATTTTCTTAAATGTTTGACTCTGGAAAGCTGTTTGAGCCACTCGTTATATAACGGGACTGGGCAGGTTTCCTTCCTCGTGTTCTTTTCTTCTCTTATTGACATCTTCCAGAGAAAATGCTGCATGATTTGGTTTTCAAGGCTAATTTGCCTTTTTGTCCTAAGCAGCATCCCTCCCTTCCCACACAGAAACCTGCTGCACTCTCCGCCCAGAGCTGGGGAGGATCCTTCAAAATTCCTACCAGGCAGCCCTGTGCAGGGGTGGGAGGGAAGGGAACAGAGGGAGGGAGGAGGCGGGCAGGGAGAGAGAGGTAGAGGGTGTCTGTGCTGCGTGCGTGTGGCTCGGGCGGGGAGAGGAGGAAGCCAGCGGAGCAGGCGGTGGGATCCCGTGTGCCCTGCAAAGGTGTCAGCCCCGAGGGGACTGAGCTTGCCAGTCCACCTGGAGCGAGGTAGACTTGGGGGAGGCAGGCAAGGTCAGTTGCTAAGTGGCTCCCTCCTCGGGGATGGTGAGGACGTCTGCTGCTCTCCAGTGCCTGCCTGGTGCCTCTGGGTCACACTCGGCTGTCTCCTCCCAGACACTTGATTTTTCGAAAGGGACACACCTTTCTGCAGGAAGGAAGACTGGCCAGACTGCGAGCGGTAGGTTGTGCCACTCAGCATGTTTATGCAGCAGAACTGCTTAGAGAGGAGGGAGACGGGTTGCTTGGGCTGGCTGATTCATCTGCACTAGGGAATGCTTGATTTTAACTGTCAGTTAAAAGAGGCACTGTTGCCCAGGCTAAGGTAGCAGTTTAAAATGCCATGTTCTAGGCGTCTGCATTTGTTTGATGTGGTTTCCGTGTTTGTGTCGCTTAGAGAAGCCAGGCAGGGCTCACCTTTACATAACCTGCAGCTCCTATTTTCCTTCTTCTTCTTTTCTCCCTCCCTAAGCAGTTTCCACCCCATCTGTCCAGCATTCCCGCCCTCCTCCGCACCCCGGGGAAGCGTGGCCCGTCTTCACCGTGAGGCTTTTGCCTCCTAAGCCTGGATTTCCGGCTGGTTCGCTGGGGGTGGCTGTGGATGCCCAGGCAGACTGACCCGGCAGGAGTGTTTGTGCATGGGATCGGAGACCATGGCAGTGCAGCTGGTGCCGGACTCTGCTCTCAGCCTGCTGATGGTGAGTGTGTGGGAGGAGGTGGGGCCGGGAGGCACCCAGTGAGCCCGTGCTGCAGGGGCTACTGCTGCGCTGCTGCTGCTGCTGCTACTGTTGCTCAGCCGCCACTGCAGTAGCTGCAGACATGTTAGACCCCGCTTTGCTTCACTCCGCAGGCTCTGGAAACGATTTCTTGGGTCAGAGTAGCAGCATGACTAAGCACTCTCAGGGAAAAGAAGTGGTAGAGTTGCCATTTTAGAAACTTGTTGCTGAATGCTATTTGGAGAGAGGTGCTTGCAGACAGGTGCTCAGAGCCCCTCAAAAATAGATCGCTGGGAGCCTCCCCTAGCGCTCAGGATTCTTCCCCCTTGGCCTTTTGAAGCTGAAGCCAGAGCATCGTGTTTGCTGGTTGGTTTGTTTGATTGATTGATTCTCATGGTAACTGGAAATTCTGCCCACAGCACGGTGGCTAGTATCTTCCTTGCAGGTGCCCCATGTCTGCTCAGATTCTCCTAGAGAGCCTATAAGGCTTACAGTGGCCTTTCTGACCCTTGGGCTAGGAGGCAGAGGAAGCTCCTCTCCTATCTGCAGTTGGCAGGGAGGCATTGGCCAGCCTGCCCAGACATTAGTGTGTGTGTGGACCACTGAGCCACATTATGCCCCTCTGATTTTTCTCATGTTCAGAAACCTGTCACTTATAGCATTTTAAGCAAACAAGGGCAGTGATGCTGTCTTGTTGTTACTTTTTGGCTTTTGCTTGGCCCTAGGGTCAGTTCGCTGTGGCTGTCATGTTGCCCCGCCTCCGTCCTCCACCCAGGGACTCGGGGCCAGGGTGATACTCTCGTGGGAAGAAGCCTGCATCAGCTTGGCGCAGGAATGTTCTTCCCGTTTACACAGGAGGTTTTATGAACAGAGTCTGAGTGCTTCTACTCCGCGTATTGATCTGTGTTTTCCGACTGCAAAGGGAAGTGCAGCTCCGCGAAGCGGGAGGAGTTTATTAGGCCACTTGGGCGAGGGACTGTGAGGCCGGCCTCCTGGGTGGACAGCGGCCATGTTAGGAGGGACAGAGGTCTCCGTGCCTTGTTACTTAAAATGTCATTTGGCCCACAGAATCATGTGAATTGCCTGAAACTCCATGGGTCTCGGACCTCTGGTTTCACTGAGGGAGAGGATTAGAAAGAAGGAAAGTCATTTTCTGGAGGAACTAAGTTCTGCTCACCTTCCTTCCCACATTAATGCTGTTGTCTGAGGACACTTCCTCTTCCCTGGTATACCTTGGATTAGTTGAATGGCTGGTCAAGGGTCTGAGTGTTTGCAACGGTGGCCGGCCCTAAAATGCAGTTCTGTCAGGAGCGGAGACTGAGGGGTCTGGGTTCTGTGCGTAAAAGCACAGAGGCACATGCTCATGTGCATGTGTGCACACATTACCTGATGTGATGTAATCCTGTGGTATGTTCATATGGAGGAAGGAAGTTTCCATAAAAATATCTTCAGGCAGAGTCAAGCTTGCTTGCCTCTGACTGCACTGAATTCTCCTTATGCTCAGCTGTCTGGCTGTTTTTACTTCGAGGCCCTGAGGGTCTATCTTTGGTACCCACACAGCCTGCAGCTCAGCACCCCTGCTTGGCTGCTCCTGTGTGCACACACACTCAGCTCCTGAGTGTCCTGACTGCTGTCCTGCAGCGTCTGAGCTCCGACTTTATCCTCCATTTGTCAATGGCCTCTGCCCTAGATCTCTCCCTGGCCCTCAGCTCCTGCCTGGATTAAAGGATTGTGTCCTCTTCTCTCTCCGAAGCTGGAAAAGTAGCTCTTGACACCACGATGGGCCATTAGACTAGAGCCCCGTGGAGCGCCATGTGTAATTGGAATCAGTGCACATTTTCTGGTTCACGTTTGGTTCAGGAAAATTTTCCCCTATGGACTTCAGTGATTTTTTTCTCTTTTAAGGGTAAACCCCAAAGCAATCACTTCCCTGACATGTTGCGTGATGCATGTCAGAATGTATAAGCAAGTCAAGGGGAAAAAGAAGGGAGGAAGAGAGCCCATCTAGTGGAGAGGCTCTGGCCGAGAGTTCAGGAAGGAAGCTGTGAACATTATTGCTTATTAGTGCATTAGTCAGCCAGTCCGTTCTCGGTATTTGTCAGGCATCTACTCACCAGCGAGAGTAGCGTGCTGTAATTGCCAGAGCCAGAGCTCATCAGTGCACAGCTTGGGGGCCGTGAGAACCACGTTAGACCGCAGTTCTGCTTCTGTGCTATGCAGTCATTGGGCTGCACGGCCAGTGGGGCAATCACCTGGCTGTGCCCCTCACTTGGATCAGGAGGTAGCCGGGGTCGTGTTGAGTGTAGATGCCAAGCGATGCAGCTGGAATATGTTTATGTGGCTCTGGAAACGGCCGCAGAGTCAAGGGTTGGAGAGTGCTGTGCTCTGACTCCAGCTTTGCTGCTCAGTGCCTAATCCTGAGTATGTCGCTCACTCTCCCTGTGCCTCATGTGTACCATTTGCTAACTGAGAGGGTGGGCCTGACTTACAGGGTCCCTTTCAGCTCTGCTAGCACAGTTTAGGGTCTGTGGGGCTGCTGTCTAGGACAGAGCTCCTAGACAGCCAACTCAAGCGTTTTATTCATCATTATGTCCTTATTTCCAGTCTGTTGCATGAGCAACATTGCTTTTCAAATGGCGGGGTTTGTTCCTACCCATTGGGCTTTTCTGCCAGGACGAGTGTATTTCAAATAATTAGCTGTAATTGATGGTCAGTAAGGTCTGTTCACTCTGCTGCTGAGAGTCCTACCCATAGGAGCCTAATTTGTTCTGCCGGACAAGAGCCAGGGACCTTTCTGTGGTCCCGAGTTAACTTTCCGGGCTGGAATCGGGCCTGGGTTGTGAGATGCCCTGACCGTCTCTGGGTGGAAGGACTGCCCTGATGGGGAGGTGGCTGTGTGCCCTTGAAAAGCCCACCGCCATCTTGGCAGGAGCCTCAGGAAGCAGAAGGAGTATCTTTGGGAGCTTCCAGCGGCTGTGGCTAGCTGGAGGGCAGGACGCTCTTCACTCTGCACCATTTGTTGAAGTCACCTGAGTTCAGGAAAGCTGTGAGAAACACACTGGGCTCAGGGATTGGTTGATTATTCTTTGAGTCTGGAATAAAAACTCATAAAATCTTTTCCTACACCAGTGTCTTCAAGAGTTCTTCTTAACCTCGCTTCTAGCCGGTTCAGCATTTCTGTTTTAATATTTAGATCTTCGGTCCATTTCGATTTTAGTTTAGTGCATGGTGAGAGATATAGGTCTAGTTCTAATCTTTGGCAAGATGAAACCCAGTTTTTCCAGCACCATTTATTACTCAAAGATAGTATGGTTCAACTTTAGTCATTGGATTCTGAAAGCTCAGACCTATTAAAAATTGTTAAAATATTTTTTGATACAAATTAGTTGGCTAAATAATAAATAATGCAAATTATGCTCTTCTGTAAATAAAGCATCTTTACATACTTTATTTCATTTAATCTCTGTTTTAAGACAAAAAATCTGATAATCAGAATTTGGGAACCTGTGATTGGTCACATAACTGAATTGCTGGGAAAATCTAGACCTGCTGAGTGCCAAGCCAGTGTTTTCTCTTTTGCCACATCAAAGCTCAAAAACTGGACTCCCAGGACTGTCCAGTGCTTTGGATGAGCCCTTCCAGGGAGCCTCACCTGTGAACATTCTGTGCTTTCCACATTGCAAGGTGGATAATCCTGTCTGCCTATTTATCATCTACTGTTTTCTATGTTGAAGTGTAAAATTTAAAAGATAGCATATATCTCAGTTACTTTCCTCATGCTGAGACAAAATACCAGACACCCACAGGTTAAAGAAGAACAGGTTTATTTAGCTCACAGTTTATAGAAGTTTTAGTCCACAGGGTGGCATGGTGGAGGGGCATCACGGAGGAGAAACAGTTCATGGCAGAGCAGGCAGGAGGTAGCAAGCAGCAGCAGCAGGTCTGCCTTCTTTCTATCCCTTTATATTCCATCCAAGCTTTAAGCCTATTGCTTGGTGCCACCCACTCCCAGGTTGAAGCTTCCATTATCCACACCCGGAATACACACTCACACATCCTAAATCCTGCAAGCTCCAAAATGCCACCTAAGGCCATATGAAGTTTTGGGTGGACATCTAGATACAAGCCACAACACCATAAAACTGGTTTGAGATGTCTTGTTTGCTTCTATGTTTATATTAATAAAGGTGTGTCATGTTTTCAAGGTTCCATTCTCTTGGACTGTGTTTCTAGGAAGTGGACAAGAGCCATGTTTTATAATTGGTAAATTTCATGTGTAAAAGCTCAAATTCACAAGTCAGAGAAATTAGTGAGTGATGATACCTAATGAAGGAAGGTTGTAAATTAAGTGATCTAGAAAGTTCTTTGCATTTAAAAACATTTGATTTCAGATTTCTGGGCTTCTTTTGAACAGACGTGCTCCCTGGTCTGTTTGAACAGATTCCAGTTGATAACCTGCTGTTCTATAACTTTACCTCCCTCATTTCACTTCATTATGAATTCTTTGTTCCTCAGCCATTTTCTTCTTTTGGACATTTTCTTTTTTAACTAACCAATGGTACTGGTTGAGTATTTATTCCATACAAGAAGCATATGAACCAGTCACTGGCTTCAGCCCACTCAGGATCTAGTTGGACAGGTGGGGTGCAGGAGCACAGGAGCCACAGTGCAGCTCCTCTGTGAGAGACGATGGCTCCAGAGACTCACAGGCAACCTCTAGCAGGGCAGCGTGCAACTCATCTTTATTCCAGCCCTTGGTTCCTTGAGTTCAGAGGCCCTGGGGCACAGTTGGATTGGAGGAACTGGATCTTGATCTTGACTTACTAAGGTAAGGTGTTGCTAAAGGTGCATCAAGAACACAGATTTGAGGTGCAGGAGTGGCTGAATTCTGAGTCTAGATTATGTTTGGGAGAGTGGAGAGCTGACTGGTTTGGGCAGATCTGAGAAAAGGGTCACAAGGTTAGAAAGACCGAGGAGGATGT